AAGGCCACGCAAAGTTAATTTTTCGTTTTGCATTACATGGATTTCAGAATCAACGGTCGGTCGGTCGGATTTTTTTTATTTTTATTTTTTTATTCTACAGTAAATAATAGACCCATATTCACATTTAAGGTCACGCATAGTTAATTTTTCGCGTTACTTAACATGGAATCAGAAAATTGGGTCGGTAATCGAATTTTTTTTATCAGTTCTATCGGACAATTCCGGAAAAATAAGGTCTCTGCCGGGCGATGTCGGATTGATTTATCGGAAAATAAAATGGCAGAATAGAATAATTGGCACACTTGGGACGAAAAATATACAGTATATATATATTGAAAAATTGAAATAAAATGGGTTGGCGGGTAATGCAAAACGAAAAATCAACTTTGCGTGGCCTTAAAGTAACAAAGCTCCACAAAAAGACAATTGATGGGGCACTAATTTTTTTTTTTTTTTGCAAAATTTGAATTACCGATTTTTTTTTTTTAAATCTGTTCTAAACTTGTTACACTGATCAATTATATGCCCAGTTTACTTTGATTTAGAGACACCGGACAGATGCAATCACATAATAGATACATAAAATGCGACTAATTTTTACTAATTTTAGGTTTTTTATGTGGCATTATGCGGTGAATTTTAAGCGAATAATAAAAGCACATGTATATAATTGTTAAATTTCTTTAAATCCATAATTACCACATTATACAATGATAGATTAAAATTATAACAATGCGAAATATGTATATGGTTCCTCACATAAATATCGCACAATTTGAAATTATCACCTCGCACGAAAATGCTTTTCAAATCGCACAATTTGGGGTCTCTACTTTGATTCATTTCTCTTGCATAAACTTGCATAAACGGATTTCTGCAAATAAGTAAGCATTTTATGCTTATTAATAGGTGAATTGACTTGTGGCATCAAAAATGATAATGCTCACACCATAGCGAAATGTTCACAATTTTTAGAGTTACTGATTTTAGAAATTTAACAATGTAATAAATGCAAATCAATTAATTATGAATAAAGGAAATGCAGTCAATCAATAACTTTATTTGGTCATTAATAATGGCGCAGCATATTGAATTTGTCGAATAAATAAAAAATTTAAATTATCGTTATCGATATTTATATTTTGTGCATACAATTATCAATTAGCTAATAAATTCAAGGCATCGTTACTCGAACAAATAAGAAGAGCAATTAATTTGTAAAAAATATCGTTATCAAAGCTATAAAAGCTCAATATTTTGACCTTTTCCAAGAAGATATTATCAAAAATAAAAATAAATAAATAAAATAATTATTCTAAAAGAAAACAACGTGGTATAAATCACAAAAAATGGTGAAAATTCAATTATTATTAAAATTAGTTTTTTTTAACAGTTATACTAAATCACATCAATAGCCACGTATATGTTTAATACGTAGTTTACACATAAAAATTAGGGACAAATACCCTATGATATATCTAAGTAATAGATTTAAACTTTAGTTATTAGTTAATTGCCAGCTTTTGAAATGTGGCAACTGTGGTGTGATGTGATTTAGTAAAATTGTTTTTTAGGTTCAAAAATTCTACTTACACTAATACTTAAACTTTGTAGATGTTTCGAGCACGCAATTTTCTTGTATTTTTTGCTATATCTCTGCTCATAATGGTCCAAATCAACAGTCAAGTAGAATGCGCGCCAATTACTACAACAGGAGGTAACTTGAAATTCTTATTATTAACTATCCTTAAACTCGTAATACAATGTATGGCAAGTTCTGTTAATATTTATATATATTTTCTAGGTTGCAAACCGTGTTCATGCTCTGGTACTGGCACTACTGGTACTACTGTAAAACGACATAAACTTCACTGCGACTACGTTTGTCCTATGTGTCCTGAAGGGATAGCTTAATTTACATTTTTCAAGTCCCTTTAAAATTTGTATCTCTAGTCGATGTTATAATTTTTTATTAATTTCAAGCTTTATATTTAATATTATGATATTCTTTAAAACTTGAACTAATATTCATTCAGCTTAATGTCTTAATGATTTTGCATGTAGCGAAAAGTTAGACTAATAATTAACTCGTATACTGTATTAAAATAAAATAATACTGAAGTTCTGTTAAAACGAGCTGCATAAGACAAAATAACATGCTCACTTACCCATAAAAAAGCATAGAATAATGAAGTGGAGAATCTGATCTTTGATCTAAATTAAATGGTCTAATGAATTATTAATCTCATACATACCATTTGTTAGTAACTGTTAACCTATATTATCATTTCGCTGTGGTTATAGTTACTATTAAATTGAGAGTTATTGCAGTACAAATATAGTGGAATAAATTTAATTAGGGTTGAAAGTAGTAATGATGTTGGTGATTTCTGATTTCTTAAAAGCACTCCGATATCTGGATGTGAAATTTTCATATCAGCGTAATTTTAAGATATCAGAAGTCATCTAACCATTAAGTAATTTCTTAGAACTTTCATTTTTATTTTTTTTAGCGCTTAAAAGCAATCTAGGGTTTGGTGTCACTCTAAATTACTTATTCGGGAAATTACGGTTGAATTAATGTTTAAGTTTGGAAATTGATCTTTTACAAAATTACTTTTTTTAGTAATTTTTGTTACGCAAAAAACAAGACGTGTATATATATTCTCTATTTGCGCTAATAAATGCTTAAGAGCAGTGCATCGAAGCGCTGCGCTACTAGCTAAATTTGCTCAAAAATTTTCGCTTATCGAACAGCGGTCATATATATGTATAATTCCAAATAAAGATTAAATAGTAAGTCCATTATTTACGACTGCATTAAAAAAAAAAATTTATTGCATACATCTATTACTAAAACAGAAAATAATCGCTTGACTTTTTTGAGAAAATAGAACAATTATTACTTCTATTTTTATTATTATTAAACAAACCAAGACTTTTCCCGTTTATTGTCTTTATTATTAACAACTACATTTAACCCGGGGCAAATTACCTCCTCTAATTATTTATATCATATGGGCTAATATGTATCTCTATGCAGAAGAGAGAACCCCGTACCCTAAAAATTTTTATAGTGCGTCAGGTGGTTTGACACTATGCTTGACACTGCTTTTAGTAACATTACACAAAATATACACTATATATGTACATTGTGGGGAAAAGTGTAAAACTCTCTAATGCTAAACACTCGATCTTTATAATTCTAAAATTCAAATCTTGCAGCTTTGTTGTATATATTGTAAATTATTTTTTTTATATTTTATAGATATAAAAAAGAGCAACATAACGATAATAATTTATTAAAGTTCTGTTGAGTTTGGAAGCACTAGTTGGAGTTATAAATTATTGCGATCAAATAGAGCTGGTGTGGAAAAATCTGAATTATATACTGTAATATATATTATCAGAAACCCAGTAAAGGTTAGAAACTCTTATTAAAGTGGAATTGAAGCCGAAACATAACACTTTTTTAAATCTACTGATAATCATGATGGTGGAGATTGAAAGAAAAATGCTGTTATATGAGGTCTTTGCCTTGAAAATAACCTTACAGTACATGATACTGTAAGGTCATTTTCAAGACAAAGACCCTATATTAAAATGGGTAAGCAATGCAAATTGTCCACTCAGGTTATGATTTCTTAGGTGGGTTCAATTACTGATCGCTGATTCTTAAAGGAATTTGAAGGTATTTTAAAACGGATTAAAATTATTGATAAAAGATATTTATATCAATTTATTTTTTTCTTATGATATTTATTATTTTTTTCAAACTAGGAGTAATAAATTCAGAAAACTCTACATAAGGTCATGTAAAGTTAATTTTTCGGTTTGTTCAAATTTTTTAAAAAAAAATTTTTTTTTTAAAGTCTCAATTGCACTAATTATTCTATTTTTACTACTTAATTTTTTTTCATAAATCTGATATCACCCAACAGAATCCTTATTTCTCAGAATTATCCAATAAGACTGTAGAAAAAAATTGACTGCTAGCTCAATTTTCTAATTTATGTTATACAAAGCAAAAAATTTACTTTTCATTGTATCCCTGATTTTTTTTTTTTATGAGTTTGCACATGTTTTAAATATCAATTCTCGTGTCTTGAACACCAACTTTCTCCATAGAACAGATTTCAGCGCAACAGATATTTGTTTAGTCTTAGCTATTTCTGGAGTTTGTTCCTTTTCAAAAAAAGCTTCGTTCTTTTTAGTTTGGATTACTTCTAGTATTTGATGATATACTACTACTTGTATTTTTTTTTTAATTATTTGAATAATAGGTAGTAGTTTTTTTTTCTTAGATAGAAGTCTATGTTTAGATAGCATTTTGTTAGATAAAAGGTATTGATAGATTAATTAAAAGAGAGTATACTTCAAAGGATATTTTTAGGAGATACAATCTGGTTATCTACCAGTTTAAATCATTATAAAAAATAAATTTTGAATCATATCTTCGACATTGTTTATATAGAAATAGAAATATTAGTATTAATATAATAAAATAAATTGTAATATTACAAATTATAAATAAATATTTTTTTATCATCAATTATTCTGATAAACTTATACGATTTTTGTTTTAACAATAAAAAAATCTCTAAAATCATATAAATCTGAACTAAAATGTTTTTTGTTCAAAATTCTTTTTTTAAAAATAACCAAAGTGACAAAGAACACAAGTAGCACTATCAAATTTGGTTAGTGATTATCATTAATTTGGTAGCTACTATTGTGTTCTTAAATTTCTTTATGATAGTTATTAAAAACATGCAACCTTAATAATAATATATGCTAAATCATTAAAATTTGACACTTTATGCATAGGAATTAGTATTTAATACTAATTCGGAATAAGAGACAGTATACATACTATTATTGTTATAAACTTTATACAACATGTTCAAACCTTTCTCATTTTACTTCTGGTAAAGTTGCTACTAGTCTATAAAGGCTACTAGTGCGAAAGTGTGAAGTGTCATGCCATTCTAATAAAGGTATTAGATGTTACTTTTGTCTTTTGATTGACAATAATTTATTGAGCCAATTTCTTGTAAGTTTTTTGTTTTTTAATTGTACCAATAATTTATCATGCTACTTTCTCTTGTCACTTTTGTGAAGTTGATAATTTATTGTATTAGTAAAATATTGCTTTTGTTCATCGATTGCATTAATAATTTATTACTGAAATAATTAGTTCTATCATAAATATAAATCATACACAAAATATATATAAATGTTAGAAATCACTCTTATAATTAAACTCTTCTAATTTCTCAAATTTCAACTAAAATCTTTACCAATTAATCATTATAATAATGTCAACTCACAATCTTGAAATTGAAACCTTTAAATCAGTTGAGAATTGTGTAATTATGTATAAAGAAGGAAAAAAATATTACACAATGATCATTTAGTTATTTTATAGAGAATGAAGGGTCTTATCCACATTCTTCTATACTTTGTTATACATTACCTCTTAAAAACTATCCAATTTCTAATAACTATTCTGTAAAAACTACCTGGGGTATGAAAAAAGTCAACAAACAATTCAATGTAAAATTTAATATAAGAATGAATATTCAGAATTTCAAATTTTATTTGGCCCGTCTTTTAAATATGTATTTAAATCAAATGAATCAGTTAATAAGGTCGCAGCAGAGTATAATATAGTACAGTATTAAGATAATTTTCTAAATCACATGATTATTATATTAAAGATTTTCTTCGCTTGCATGATGATTACAATTTTTTTAAACACTTTTACTAAAACGCACCTATGGTGTTTTTACACCATAGGTCCCATTTCTCAAAAACATACTAAGTAAACAGGATCAGGTTCTCTAAGTAAAAATGTTCAGGACCCCAAAAAACCTTATAAGAACTGAAATCGGGCCCTATTGGGCCCTTATATTAGCTCTATAATATATTATATAAAAAAAAAATATTCCTAACTCTAACTCTAAATTTTATTAAAAGATATTATATATAGGTGCTAAAACACTATAAGTGCATTTTATAATAATTGTTTTTAAATATTATTTTTTGTCTCTATTAATTACTTTAATAAAATTCTACTTATAGGTAGTAAATAGTTCAAAAAAAAGTGTTTTATCTGGCCACTTCTCTTTGAATTACAGCTTCAAAAAAGTTAGAGAATCTTAGAATAAATGTATAGTGCCAGTTAAACCTGCTAAACAATATTCGCAACAAGTACTTAATAAATACGCAAAACATAATTTTTTCAAAGCACAAATTCTAAATATAATGCTCAGGATTCTGTTAAGTTAATATTCTGTCAATAACCAAAATTATTTTTTTTGATTTTGGGGACGATCCTAAACAAAAAAGAGCTAAAATTTTAAATACAGTTAAAGTAGTAGATTCATGTTATATTTCACAAGATGCTTATCAAAATTTGGCTACAACATATTATCACCTACTACATGAATATATTATTGCAAATAAATGAAGTGATCTAACCTAAAGAATGGCTAAAGACATTCTTATTAAACCTGTTAATATGAATACAAAGATTACAGATATAGTTGATAAAGAATCAAATAAAGAGTTTGATAATATAGATAATAAACCTAATGATTTAGATTCTGATATAATTGAAAACATTATGAATTCTATAGATACAGGTAGGTAACGTTATTGTAAAAGAATACTTAGATATATAATTCTTTATTTGTTGCAAGAAAATATATTATCAGTCCATAATCCAATAATTTATTTGTAAATTTCTGGTAATGAGCAAAATGTTAAACGAAAAGTCAAGCATATTATGATTATATTTACAATTCTTAATAATCAAAAAAATTGCTATAAACCAAGCTATCATCATACTGTTGCTCTATATCCGGGAGTCAAAAAGTATAAATCTCTTGAATTCATATTAAACTCATTTC